GCGGAACAAGAAGATTATCTCATTACTTCTCAAAATAGAATAAAAGAACTTTCTTATCGGGAATATTTCCGTAAACAGTGTGTTTCAAATCATACAGGAAGATGAGAGAAAGTATGATTGAGAGCGTAATAAAAAGCCACATAGGTTTTTCCAAAGAGTTAATATCGCAGGAATTCCTAAAAGAGAGAGAGATGTACAATCGTTAACTATTTTTTTTTTTTATCGAACACTCGTTTGTTTCTCATTGGACAATTACCCCACGGCTTCTCATTTGATCCAAATACGGTGTTCATTCGTATTTACCGTTCTCCTCGATTGCTCGTAATTTGTCGTAAGTAGCGTACACAATTCCCTGTTGTTAGCGCCTGATCGGTTACGGCGATCAAACGTCGCCGTAAGATCGAATGCGCGGGAAAGTGAAACGATGCGGTAATAACGATCGGTGATTGCTATCGATATATCGACACGACCAGAACGAGGGATCCTTCGCCCTGTGAGAAGACAATGTTGAGTTTTTTGCCGATCACGAACGAACATTTTTCTCGTAAACTTCGAGAGATGAGCGACTAAATTAATAACAATCTTGGTCGGAGGCGTTTTGTTTTCGTTGAGTGAGACGCGCATTAGTCGTGCAAGTACAAAGAGGTAAAAATTCGAGCGCTCGGATAATTCCGGTTGTAAAGTGCGTAATGACCGGTTCTGGGAGCGTATATCATCCACGGCGCAAATGATTGTTTCGTTACGGCAATTTAATTGTGAAGGACCTGAACACAACTGAGCGTTTGCGCAAGAATCGCTAAGATGTTCGCGTGTAAAGCTTTAACGGGATGTGTCGAAATCGCGCCGAGTGGACTTTTGCCGAGTGGCGAGAGAGATGTTTCGTCAAAACACATCTACGGTTCGCGTCGAGTTGAAATCAGATCGCTATCAGTAGTTAACTGCTCGCCCTCCCGCGTCGAATAATTTGTCTGTATCATTACGATTACGAGATAATCAGTAATTGATATCTCGCAATGTGTATCAACGCAATCGTATGCAACTCGGTTTCATCTTTTTGGAACCAAATAACGGACTTTCACTTTGAGATAATGTTCACAACACGATGTCGTTCCAATATTCACGCGATTAATAACACGTTACGTAATTTCCTTCCGTGAGAAGTTAACACTTGTTCACATCTTTCGCTACTGTGTTTTTTTTTTTTTTTTTTTTTGTATATATAGATTAGAATATAACGAAATTTTCTGGTTGTTTTGCTATCTCAGAGTTGAGAGGATATATTTCCCTGTCTGCTATTAATTCTCAGAAGATGGTTTCTGGAGAAAGTGAGTAAGCACGTAGCATCCTTCACCTTCACCTCCCATTGTCCTGTATATATAGTCTTCTCGGTCTCATCTGCGTCCTCGAGCGAAATAGCGCGAACGTTCGATGTTTTCTTGTTCGATCGATTCACATTTCTTGTCACATCGATTTATTTCCGCTATTTGAACACATTATTAACACGTGTTAAAAAAAACTTTTAACAAAAGTAAAAAAAAAAAAAAAAAAAAATATAGAAACGCAGTGTGCGAATGTTTTTTATTTTTTAAATTTTAGTTTCTTATTTATATTTATTGTAATATATATTTCATATTTTACACAGTCTCTTTGCAGTTTCCACGAAATTTTTTCTATACTGTTTCTCGTATTATAGCACTTGTATTTTTTAAAGAAAATTCTCTATTCCTGCATTTTTATTCCCGATACGCTCTGAATGTATCGGACAGAGAGAAATATGGAATAAGAAAAAACACTGCTCCCCCAGCAGCTAGCACCTGCTTCAACGAACAAACGATGAGAGAAAATCGCTTTTGCATATTTGCCAAGCTGTATATATATGTATCTGTAACTTATAGAGACGTGATTTCTAAAGCACGCGAGAGAATCGCTACAGAACACCAATTTAAGTGTTTTCGTATTTCCCCATATAATTAGGCGCACTTACCGAGACGGTAAATTCGTCGGTCCGATCTCGGGAGACGGCTTGGATGTGCTAACGCGTCGCGCGATTTATGTTCTCGGCGCAAAAAAAAAAAAACTTATTGGATCAGCAGATCAAAAACGGAGCGGTGAAAACGATATTCCTCTTATGTAAAATTGCGGAAAAACCTTCTCTCTCGCGCGCTTATAATTAAGTATGTTTAACACCTTCTCAAATGAGAACCAGATTACCAAGAACGAGATTAATGAGAGGTAGGTGCGTAATATTGCTCGAGTGTGTGTTACATGCGAATATCGATCTAATCAGACGAGGATTTTTCCTCTTTGATGAAAACAAACGGTTTCTCGTTATTTGCACATTAGAGAAAGTTTCCCGTTTACACGCCACGTATGCAGACATTTGTTGTTCGTAGTGTCTATACGCCGTTCAAGTGTCTCTCGGAAGAGGAGATAAACCGGAAGCTAATACACCTGGCTGGATGTCCCTCATAATTCTTTTACATACCGAATATACTTTACGTACACATCGTACAAGGAAACTTGTGTATGCGTTTTCTTTCAGCGGCTTGAGTGAAAGGTTCTGCGATACGTTCCACACCGTTTTGAAACATTATATCCAACTTACCGATATATCCTCTATTAACAACGATTACGTCTCGGGAGAATGCTTTCTTTTAGCTGGATTGCGAAAATTGTTGAAGAAAATTATCGAGAATAGATTTTTCTTTTTACGCCGGACTTTAAACGTTCGTCAGCTTTTTGTAGATCTTGGCATCGACATAATTGTCCTTTTTTTTTTTTTTTTTTTGGAAATCTGAAGTGTATGTGAAACCTAAAATTATCAATGCGCGATAAATGTTTATCAAATTCGATTAACAAAAAAATAATTTGTGAGTTTTCAAAACGGAACAAAGAGCCTCTAAGGAAGAGAGAATTTCTACGTCGTATGACGTTTAATAATTCACCATAAACCGATTCCGAAGAGAAACCTAGCAATTAGAATGAAAGATGCCGCCGAGGAAGATATGCGGAATGGATATCGGCCCACAGATGGCGAGGAAAGAGAGAGAGAGAAAGAAACGGGGCGGAAGCGAGATAGAAAGAGAGGAGAAAAGAGAGAGGGTCAAGAGTCACTCTGTTAGTGGGTGAGCATTCGCTCGTTTCTACTTTCGTGTAGAAGTTTGTGTTGTTCCACACGATACACGTTGGATACACCAATCCAACGAATCACAATCGATCTAAGCAAGAAGTATGTTTCAGAGAGTGTTCAAAGAATGTTTAAAAAATTACGCAATTATCTAAATAAAAATAAATTCTATTTTCATCACAGAAACAACGCCGACACTCGATGAATAGACAATTGCGAGAGAGATGCGATCGTAGATTCTCGTATTCGTATCTCCTTACGGGAGCAAAAAAAGTGGCAAGCGGTAATTAACGGAAAAAGGCGCGAGTGTTTTTTTTTCTCTTCGCATTCGGTCTCGCCAGCGAAATTTTCCTGCGATCGCCGGGAAAGATAGTCGGAAGATTCCCGATGCAACGGGCGCACCGGCAACGGCCTGATTACGTCAGGCGAGGCAATTTCATTAAATCTGCATACTAGCTCGGAGTAATCTACATGCTCGGAGCGATGCACGCATTAAATCGCGCTCCGCGGAGAAATTTCGCAACGAATCCAAGTCAAATGTTGACGGATAAATTACGAAAACAAAAAATGCGCATCGGAGGAAGATTAATGATTGATCATTTGAAAGCTTCGTTAACGAAAGCGTCGAGTAAAAAATGTGAAACAATCGTAAAACTTCTCTTTCGATCATTTAAGCCGATAATGTAACAAAATTAATTCTTCGCGGACAGACATGGTCTCCCACTCAAAAATTGCGTCTCTATCGGTGTTTTCAACAAACATTAGTTTTTTTAACGCTTATATCTTTGAAACTACTAGAGATTTTTTCAATTTGTTTTTTTTTTAATCGACGCAGAATGGTTCAAACTTTCGATTAAAAAAAATAAAATTATTGATTTTTGGCGGCGATATTCGATTTTAAAGTCGCGTGGATTTCATAGACTCAATCTGTCCAACTCGTCATTTTTACAGTCTATACACGAAGGTAAATATCATTTTCATGACCACTCTAAGCAAACACAAGTCTATTCTCGATAATATAAGAGATCGATTATCGACCGTTTCGTATTTCGTACATTTGAATAGATATTGTTCCTTGACAAGTTAATAGAGTGTTCCGAAACATATTTGAAGTTCACTTCGCGATTTATCTGTGTATGTACGGACTGTTTTAAAACGGGATAGAGAAATCCGCTGATTTTATCGCGGAACGGTTTCTGGGTTGGGAGATACGCGAATTAATGTGCCGTGAAGCTGCGAGAACTTCCATCCAGGCACATAATTCCATCGCTTTGTAATTGTGTAAAACGCAAGTTGTGTATTACAATTATTTTAGTGTAGTAAGTGTTTTTTTTTTTATATTGTTTTATACATATATATACATATATCCGCGGTACTTTTTATGACGGTGAAAAAATTCCTAGGAGAATCTGCGATACGAGTCAACAACTGTTCGGTGGAACAGTGAAATCGAATTAAGTGTCTGAAAGATGAAATTTATCTGTCTCTCAGCACCAATTCACGACACATTTTGGGATAAAAACAAATTATCTCGCAGCGACCTACTTCCGGTATGTAAATTGTTTTAACAAGCGAGATGGAAGAAAGTTTTTCGGGACGAGTGAAAGTTACGTCAACTCGATAAGGATCATTAAAGAAAATGAAAGTAATTCTCAAAAATCCAGCTTGACGATGTTAAATTATTTTGTGTAAATTTCGAGTAAAAATGATAAGAGTATGAAAAATACAAAAACTTCACAAGTTATCCAATTAAAGTTGTTTCTTGTAATTGGATGCAATCACTTCGTACTTATTTCTTTTATATAACGACAAAAAATAATATAGAACAAAATACGATAAATAGTAAAGACCTCGATCGCTTTCTGGTACTCACCTGTTGAAGATGCGACAAATCGGGGCCGCCCAAAATTGCCGGGTCAGCTTCAGCGGCGACGAAAATGTCCACTTGCAAGGTCAACGCGGTCCACAGAAAACACAAGAAGTATCTTTGCTTCATCACGAAGAGTAAATTTTGTTCTCGACCTCTCAAGTAGGAAACGTTTACACTGCGGTGAGGAAACCCGTCTTACGCCTCTTCGACTTTTCGCCGGTACATCAGAATTTTTGTGCCCTTGATCTTATCTTCGAAAATCTGACTCTGATTGACAATCTTTCTACGAGAAACCGAGATTTTTTTTAAACAACGAAGATGACGTTCTTGATTTGTCTTGATTTCTGTGATCTCATTAGATTCCTGTCTCTCGCTCAATTTGGCGGAAGAAATGTGTGTCTGTTGGTGTCTTTCCAGAAAACACCGGCATTCAGAGAATTCAGCGCGTTCTGTCTTCTTCCCTTACTTTCCGTGGTCAGGAAGAAACGAGAGTGCAGGAAGAAAGTCGATGAGTCAGCTGGCAACTGTTCGCGGAGCCGCTCTCAAACAGAGTTCACACGTCGAGACGACGAGGACGAGTTTACACTGTTGGAGAACGGAAAAGTCCGGCAGATTTTACTTCTCCCTTGCGGGAAGAGTTCTTGCTTCGAGTGGGAGGCAGCTCACCCAGGTAGGACGGTGAACGTCAACACAGAAGAAATTCAGTTCTCTTTCGGTGGTTTCCTCCACTCTAAAGAGACGCAGTCGTAATATCGATCAAACTGAGATAAAAAGAACTCTTTCACGCGTTCAATGAAATGAGACGAACATTGAGATAAGAATATTTCCCCCCTCTCCCTAGAGTAAACGAAAACTGCTGGAAGCGTTGCGCCATCACAATTTTACAAGCATTAGATATAAAACATAAACGTGTAAAAAATTACTTCAAGAAGGAAACAGTGCCGCAATTCACTGTGCAGCAACAAATATCAAACGTTCGGAAGACTATTTGTAAGAACCTCTCGTTTAACCAAAATGATTACATGTACAACAAGTGATCGGAATCATAAAAATCTCTCTTTCACTCTCTTTTATCGCGAACAAAAGATCGGAAAAGAAATAATTTACGTTTTCTTTACGTAGGCGCTTGTCTACCGCTATATTATTCAACGATGATCCAGACTGAGAAAGAGACGCATGAACGGACATTGGTCCATTATACGGTTCCGTCCGGCGTTCCGGAGAGCGAGCAAATGCTCGACGTACCGTTTTACCACTGTCTTTTTCGCGCGTCGCTTCCGATAACGTAGCGCAGGTGTGTATTCAGAGTTTGATCGCGGAAATACTCGCTTAATTAAGCGTCGGAACGCGACCTTTCTCCCTCTTTCTGCGTTATATAATTAAAAACTAAATTATCAAACACGTCTATATGACACACGTTGTGCTCACGTGTCTATCGTGTGTTTTACTTTTCATAGACGTATGTTTTTTTTTTTTTGTATGTGAAAAAGATCAATAATTTAAAAACTTTCTTCAGAATTTTACGCGAATTTCGTAATACTTGCGGTAATGTAATAAGTAAATCGGCGCGAATAAGGATACGAACAGAACTCTCCGATCGGATCAAGATTTTTATCATCCTATAATATACGGAGCGAAAGGCCATTACGAAAGCCCTATCGTTATAAAGAAAAAAATGGATCATAGAATCGCGGGAGCACGTGAGGCAATCGAAGTGTACTCGATGCAATGAAAGATGACTAATGACGTGTGTAATGCAGCGATGTTATTAGGGTATCAAGATCATGCGATTCGACGTTAGGTTAGATACTCGCTTGATCGAATCCAATATTTCATCACGAATCGTTACTTTCCGATTAAGCGGTATCCTTTCGGAAGATCGCCCGGGGCGACGAAAACACACCTTGTCAGACGAGTCTTCCTTTCTCCGCTCCCGATTTTGTGACAATAACGAAGTCGGTCATTTCGGTTTATTTCGTGAGAGGATAAAATTTTTAAATTTTCTCGCGATATATTCCGGTAATGTTTTCTTATTAAGTTTTGATAAATAATTTTTGACAAGCTATTTTAGACACAAGTTGTCTGTATCTAATGGAACCCGATTGATTTTGATTAAATTTTGTGAGATATTAATGAAAGACTCTTGTTAGAGTCTTAGTAGGTTTTTTTTTACAAAAGCCTATTTTCTCTGAAATGCAACTTGAACATCAATTAAACTTTTTGCAAAACGATTGCAACACGACGTTGTTTGCAAAAGACTAATATCTATCATTTACATTATTCGAGGTATCGCGTGCTAAGTAGCGTGCGTGTAGCTTACAAGCTGCGTTACGAAATCCAGAAGTATAAATAATTAAACGGGGGTCAGGAATTCAACAAAGATTGTTAACTCAATTGAGCTTACGCTATTTTATCGAGTTAGATTTTTGGACGCGACGTTGTAACAACGTCGTTCTATACCAGAAGGTATCTTTTAACATTAGGAAAGTCGCGTTATGTAAGACGATGTAAGATTCGTAAGCTTATCACGAGCAAGACATCTGCCGACGTGTCACGTGAAAAATATGGCGTGTACGTACGAGTATCGCGAGTATGAGAAAAGAGGCTTTTCTCTTACAAATTCTCATTAAACAGCCGTTTCATTCGAATGAAAGGCAACGGAAGCGGTCTTAACGAGAAAGGAATTATGCGATTTCTCGCACGCTTGATCTCTTCGATACGAACTGTAATGTCACGAATAAATGAAAAACCGACCACAACGGAACGTTTCAACCAGGTTTCCGAAATGAGATGTAATATATTAACTAGATAATTGCGAGTAAAAGATAATTTGTTGTTAAAATTGTGAGATATATTTAGCAGAAAGCATTTCTATAAATTTCTACAAATCTCATCTCATAACGTCAGTTAGATAAAATTAGGTTAGAAGGACGTTAGTTTATTCTAATCATTAACGAGACGTGACGCAACACGTTAAATAACAATAATTGTATCGCAAGAGGCGAGCGGCCGAATGCCTCGCACTACTTTTCCGCACATCTCGAGTCAACGACTCGACCACCTTTGCAAATGTCTTTCTGCCAAGATAATTTGCACAGATAATTTGCCACCGACGCATTCTCGCGGCCGTCGCCGCATTGCGTCGCAATAATATCGCGCGCCGCAGCTCACCGTAATGCATCATTTCTGCACAATTATCCCCGGTGTCACCAAATATAGCGACGAAGAAGAAAATCGAGAAAAGAACGAAGGACTCGAGCATCTAGAACAGTTGAGAAATGTGATATTCTCTCTCTCTCTCTCTCTTTCTCTGTGCGCAAGTAACAATATCATTCTTTATCAATAGCTTTCTCATTTCTACAGGTAGCGCGCAACAAGGAAAAAAATAATTGCATGAAACAATCGAACTTTTCTCTTTATAAAACAGAAAAAAAAGAAATCTAACTCATCTAAGTTGTTACGAACCAATAATAAGATTCTCGAACGGAATGTGTAATTAAACGAACAAATGCGTACATGCTTTCACTCTTCTTGAACTAATATAACGGAAGCGGATACGCAAGAAAGACTCTCGCGTCGGTCATCCTCTTCATCGTGATCGCTTTATTAGCGAAGCTTTACTAATTAGAAACTATATATGTTAACAACGTTAACTACTTCACATTCGAAAAGTAGTTCCGAGTCAGAAATATATATTGCAAGTATTTTGCACTTAATATACATGTTTGCGCACAGACATAAGCAATGGTGCGGATAATCATTCTGACATAGAAAGAAACGATTTTACCCCGTCGTAATACAGATGTAATGACACAAGTTGATGAATCATTATGGCGAAATTCCGCGCACGAGTTCGGAGTGCGCGCTTCAAGGTCCGGGAAGCGGACCCTTCAAGCTATTCGGTAAATGCAAAATCATGATACTAAACCGCAACGTAATTTTCTTTTCGTCGCTATTAGCGAGATTTATAGAAGTGTTTTGCGGTTTGAGAGCGACGATGAGTAAACAATAATTCAAACAAAAAAAAAAAAGAAATTCGCGTTCCGGTAATATTTTTATTAGAGTCGATGGTTTACTTTTTTGCATTCAACACAATAATTAAGTAAAAGTTCTTTTTATATCATATAGAAATTGAGAAAAATTAGTACTTACATAAATAGTAAGTAAATTTTTTTAAAAATATTTTAGTTTACAGTTTTATTTCTTTTTCTTGTAATTTATATTTTAAATATAAAATTTGTCTGTGCAAATTTAATAATTTGCCGTTTTCATCAGCCGCATTGTTTGATTATCGACGCAGCAAGAGTTTTGTTAGTGCTCGATTGATAATACAGCTCGGCCGATAACACTTAGATTGATAATGTAGATCACACTTATCTGAATCTTCTGGAAGATGCTGTAGTTGTCTAAATTATCGACGTGTTTATCGTTAAATTTTGTTGCAATTACCAAACACAATCAGAAACTTTTAACTTAAAATGAGTGTTGATTTTATGATAAATATTCACGTAGACATTTTGATTGATAATAAACATATTCTTTCAAAAATATACAGTCTTGTTACAATCCTGCAGATTCTTATCAAATCATGTGAGTTACTTGAATATTGAAACATTTAAGAGAGTATAGTACTAGATACCGACTATAGAGACTGTAAATCGACGTTTAAATATTTGATTTTGTGTCGTATTTATTGCATTAAATCCAAAATGCTTCTCCAAAAATAAGTAAATTGTGTAGAAATTGCTACACAATTTAGCATACATTTTTTCTTATATAGTTTTCTTCTATAATCTCACCATATATTCATGTATGTAGAATTATTTCTAAGCTTCTGTACGTATTTGCACTGAATTAGCGCATTAAGTACGATAAAAAAGAACATGATGAGACACTCAGATTATAATTTGACTACCTAATTAATAAGAGAAATAAAAATATTGTGATGACAGAATAAGTTATCGTATGCTATCATTATGAATAAAAAAAAAGTTCAAAAAAGCATTATATATTTATTTGCAAAAGCACTATGTAGTTTTTTATATTTATGTGCTTCTGTAGAAGCATTTTTCATGTGATGCAATATACAAAATTAGAAATTAGAGAAATAAGGTTTCTAAAACGTCGATTTACAGGTCTCTATAGTCGGTATCCAGTATCCTCTTAATGTGCAATATATACGTGATTATAAAGTAAACAGACTATGTTCAAAAAAATATAATAACCTATTTTTTATTTATTTAAGAGTGTAAATTAATAGATATAATAATTTAAATTTAATTCAATTCGAACATTCATCTAGAATGCTTCTCAGACAGCACAGAAAGAACAAAAGACATTTTAAAGATGTATAAAAAAAAATACCAAAACATCATCAAGTCGTCTTTTAGTTATCTTTTAGAAATATATGCTGTCTGGATTAGTTTTGAATCACATATATAAATGAATTATCCAATTAATCCTCATGGAAATTAAAAACTCGATTGCGAATAATCTACACAAAACAAAATCTTCATTAGACGTTAACAACTCCATGCGATATCTAAGAGAAGTCTAATGGAGTTTTCGTTCTGTGTGGAAAGAAACCTGGTTAGAAGTCAAATTCGGA